TACTCACATTTACCACCTAGTCCAGGTTTCTGCTAAGGGACACCAGTCCTCCTCCTGCCTCCAGGTTCTCTGCCCCCCAGCCTGAATAACCTCAGCTGTGACAAATTGCATATTTATGTATTAATTACTGCCTTAAGCAGCAGTTACAAACCCAAACAAAATCACGCATCAATGGCCAGCGAGCGAGGCCCTGCTGGAGCTGAGCAGCTCTGCTTTCATCCTAAACAAAGACTCAGGAAGGAACCACAGTTCCAAGAGGCCAGGAATTAGGAGGAACTGTAATTTCCTTGATGCATTTTATTTCAGTGCATAAATACATACATACATATATATATATATATATATGGAATGACGGCGCTTTCTTTCATAAATAATATATGAGTGTATGTCAAGAAACTGATAAATGGAGATGCAGATACTACACACCATCCCAATGGATCTCTTAGTGCCTGTCAAGTTAGGCAGCAATGTCCTTTTCTGTCTTGTAGGCACCTGCATGGTCAGAACCCATGTGAGAGTAGAAGAACTTTATGAGCTGAGCAGTCAGTGAAGAGGAACTGCTTTTAATCTACATCTGTTGTATTATTTAAGGAGAACATCAGAATTTATACCCTGTATCACATAAAGGCATGCAGAGAGGGAGTTGTGTAGGAAAGCCATCTGCAGGTATAATTAGTGTTAAGAGCAACATATTTGTGGGAAACGTATCCTGACTGACCCAGTTACCTGGGCAAAATCAGAACAAAATTAGGCCTCTGTTACCTGCAAAAAGCACTTCTGATCCAAAAATCAAACAGACAGCAATTAACAGATGCCAGCCACTTTGTCCTGCCCTGGCTTAAAGCTGATGTGTTACTGGCAGACCCCTTCAGGTTCATACTAACATCCACCTCTCAACATCCACTCTCATGAAACTTGGCTGCATTTGTGCAGCAGTAAAACCCCCGGACATTTCTCACCAAATACTGGAATGGTCACCGTGGGGGTGAAGGCAGCACGTTCCTCACGGACAGTGGGAAGCCCAGGCGTGCAAATGGGGCCTGGGGCAATGTAAAGCACTCCCAGAATTTGGGAGCTGGTCATCCCTGGCCTTGTGTCAGTGCACAGGGTCAGGCAGAGGAGCAGCTGAGAAGCTGAGAGAACAATTCGCCAGTTGGGAGCTTCCAACAGCAGCTGCTGAGGAGAAGACCTGGTGTGTGGGAAGACAGTGAAGAAAGGAGTCATAGAATCACAGAATCCTTGAGGTTGGAAAACACCTCCAAGACCACCGAGTCCCCCCTGTGCTCAGTCCTCACCTTGTCCCCCAGCCCAGAGCACTGAGTGCCACGGCCAGGCCTTCCTGGGACACCTCTGGGGATGGGCACTCCAAACCTCCCTGGGTAGCCCCTGCCAAGGCCTGACCACCCTTTCCAGGGAGAAATTCCTCCTGATATCAAAAGAAGGAAAATTCCCATTCTCCCAAAGGGTGTCCAACTCATGAGCACAGACCTCTCTCCTGTATCTGCCTGCATCACACATGTACCCATCTCACCTTTTTCCTACTGCTGTTACCTGTAGTTACCTGGGTTAATTCCCTGGGTGTTTTCTTACACTTTCCTTACACTCATTTCTGTGCCCACAAGCTCCTATAAGGTGGCCAATGTTTCCATTCCTCTTCCTGTTTAAATCTCACAGATCTCATTAATTATAAAATATTTTGCTGTGACAACTTTCACTGGTTTATTTGTGCTTCAGGACTCTGATAACAGACAAATTCTTCTGCGAATCCCCAAATCCCCAGTCAACTGGAAAATTAAGATGAATGCAAAGCTGCAGATCTATGGAAATTCATTTCTCATCTCCACCATCTCCCAGCTAAGTTTCAAAGCCGGTTGACTAATTCTGGATGCCCCAGTGAGCAGAGCCAGGTCTAGTTACTTCTGTGGCTTTACTTGTGTCACTGCACAACTGCAAGAACTGACAACATTTCTGTCTTTTGGGGAGTATAATTTAGGAAAAGAATCACTTTGTGGAGGAATGGCCCAGTGCTGAGATACAATTCAACTAAAGCCCAAACTGCAGAGCCTTTAAAACTATCTATAACTGTATCCTGAACAGGGAAAATAAATTTATGGGTGTACACGGGAGAGACAAATCATGGAGATAAGTATCATATATAAATCTACAGAGGCTACATAATTACTGCATCAGAGATCCATGATAAATCTTATTCTCCTGGTGAGGATAGAGATACTGATCCACCAGGGGTGTCTGTGGAAGAGTGCTGCAGTGCAGGTCAGACATGCACTTCTGAGGTGACTGTCCTCGCTGTCCCCACGCCACAGCACACTGGGGTGCACTGCAGAGAGGTCTGGGAGCACAAAACCTGCATTCCTGGAGGATAAAACGATGAAATCCAGGAATGGCATGGCTGTTCCAGCTGCTGAGGGCCAGCCCCTTCAGGGAGCAGGTACAGACAGTCTGCATGAAACCTCTTGGACACGTTGGGTAGAGGTTGGATCCCCAGCAGGAACTGTTCCAACCTACAACACACCTCAGTCCATCCAAAACATCCCACCGTGGGTCCCTGGCTGGTTGTTGGCCCAGGAGCAGCCCCTGGACTCCAGCCAGTTTTAATTTACTTCACTTCAAAGACAAACCACAATGTCTTATAAACACCTGGCAGAAGCTCACTGGGAGAAGCTCGGGATCGTTTCCCTCCCTAAAACACACAGCCCAGACATGCTGCCATTTCCCTAATTGGATAAGCATTGGGATTGCAGGCAGCTCTGCTGAGTGATGCACATGGCAACTGCCAGGGAATAAAGGGCAAAAGAGCTAAACATGAATTTATATTAATTTCTCAGAGTGATGCCAAGCACCAGGGCTTGAGCCGAAGCCTTGCCATAATTTAAAGACAACATTTCTACTTGCAGCTGGGTTTCTCCAAGAAACATGGTTCACATAATCCTACCACACCACTGCCTTCTTGTCCTTTCCCAAAAAATCCTGATAGCAGTATCAAAGCTATTAAGATGCAAATCACTTCAGGAAAGCAGCAGCCAGATAGAGGAGAGTGATTCCCAAACATCTCTATGAGGGGGATGTGCTGCAGTTGCACTTCATGTTCTTTAAACACAAGGAAAGGCCATGGAAGAGACAGTTGTTCCCACTCTCTGGGAGAGGGAAATGCCTGGCAAGGGCCCCCAGAGCCCAGTGAGGAGACACAAACCCATGAGGACCTTGGAATTCCCCCCCTCTTTTATTCAGAGCAAGACTTTCAAGTTCAGAAGCATTTCTGCAGTTCATCTGTAAGGATGTTCTCTCCCTGAAAATGGTTTTTAACAAGAATTTACTAAAAGAGGATAAATAGCCATACATTTGATGCCCTGATAACTTTGTGCCATAACTCTTATCACCTGTAATAAAGCAGGCAGGCTCTTAGAAAGGAATGTTATATCCTTGCTTTTGTGCTCTTAAAAGCTGCGACTGCCAATCCCTATATTAAAATCTGAATTTCTGCCACTGTAGATATTTTTTTTCCCTTTCCAGAGAGTTTGGAAAACAGCTCTAGGAGCATCTCTGCAGTTATTTTAAAGCCAGAGCCAGCCACTGCTGCAACCTCATTTCCCTCGGTCTAACTTGATCCACGAGACCTGTAGAGGGCAGTGGATAAAAGAAAATAAAGCACCAGCAACAGCAATAAATGTTAAATAAAAATTTAAAAAATTGGGATCTCACCTAATTACTCCCTTATATTGAAAAGCTTCCAGGTAATTCCATGGATTAATGGATTACTGCAATGGGATTTTTCCAAGCCCAAATCCTAGGCTCTCTGGCAGATTGCACTGACAGGTTTTACAGCAGCACTCCTCCCTTGGGATTTATTTATTTTTTTTTTTCCAAACAGGAATCACTTCCTTGCAGCTCAGCTAAAATGTGCAGCAGGCCCTTTGCCTTTGACTTCCATGCTGCTCCTGGGCAAACAAGACTTCCCCTTCCTCCATGGAGAGTCCATTAAACCAAAAAAAAAGGAACAAAACAATTCAGCAAAGCTGAGTGTTTACACAATGTGCAACAGTAAACCATTAGTGTTCAATTTAATATCGAGTGAATATCAAACCAGCCAGGACCTAGAGCAGAAAACAACTTCTTGGATAATTCCTCTTTGGTTCTCAAGCATGTAGAGGAGGCAGAATCAGAATCACACTGCTGATAACTTCATTAGACATGTGGCACATACAATGAACTCATTACTGATGGAATACATAAAATCTAGGATAAACTTAAATTAGGCACAGCAGATAAAAGCATTACAGTATATACAGTACAGTCTGCCTTATCTTGCACATAAGAGTGTTAATCAATACAGCACCAGGCCCTGATTACCTCATTTCAGCTGTGCTTTAGTAACTTCTCACAGCTTTGTTGTGCAGCTCTGAAACTGGCTCTGCAATTACCAGGGGCAGAGCTGTCCACACCTCAGTTAATGCCCTGTTTATCTGAGGAATGCCGATTAGATCTGCAAACACATCTAAAAACACCAGGAGCTGAGAAGGCAACAAAACAACGCTTGCCAATTTGTGAGCTAAAAGGTGATGCCAGGGCTCTGAGGGTGTTAATACTCAAAGGCACCACGGCCTGGAGCTGCTGGGGTGGGGAACTGGGAGCTGCTCCAGCCCCCCAGTGAGCCACTGGTTCTTGCTGCAGGAAACCCCCTCCAAAAAAACAGAGAGCAGGAGTCAGCAATGCATTATTGTTCTTTCCAGGCTCCTGGGTGACTCACCACTGTTATAAATTGCCACTGCTCCCAAGAAGTCAGACACTGACAATTTACTCTCACCTGCTGCATTTTTTAACCTTGTTTGTGATTTTTTTTTTTTTTATTTTTTTCCTGCCCCGTGATGGTCTCATCCCTTTTCCATCAGTGTTCCCTGTTGTACCAATTCCCTCAGATTTAAAAAGGGCTAGAGAGCTAACAGCTGCTTTGGCAATTCCCATTTGTGAAAATACACACTTACATGGACTTCTGAGCCTTCTTCATACTCCACAGAGTTGCTGCAGCGTCACACAGAGAGAGCCTATAGGAATGAAAAATTGGGACAATATTATTCATGCTCAGAACAGAACGAAACTCAATAATTTTTCTATCATCCATTATATAGATCTCTATATGTCACGAAGGCAGGGACAGCAGCCTGTTGTCCTGGAGAAATCTGTCTCCTTGGAGAAGTTCACTTTAGGTGATGGCACTCTCCCTTTCAGGAGGAAGAAATGCTAAGGCAAAGCAAGAAAGTGAGGAGAAGTTCCAGGTGGATGTAAAAGGTAGATGCAAACAAGAATGAACAGTAAGAATATGTCACAGGCGTGGTGGAATTAGTTGAAGGTTGGACTTGAGGATCTTGGAGGTCCTTTCCAACCTTAATGATTCTGTGATTCTATGAGATCATGATTCAAACATTGAGCTCCAAAAGGGTGGCAACGAAGAAGGGACAGATGTGTGGCAAGGCCTTGCAGCAGCAGTTCTGCATGAAAACAGCCTTGGCCTGCTTGAGTATAAATATGCCATGTGTTCATCAGTCAGTGAAGGTGCCCAGAGCCACAGCCACAGAGGAGGGCACTCTTTTTCTTGAGGGGAAAAGCACTGCTAGTGGGACTTTCACTCTTTTAAGCTAGAACAGGTTACACTGCTCTCTTCCCACTGGCTGGATCCTTTTGCCAGGAGGTTGTTCCTCTTCTACCACGCAGCCTTTACACTCATCTCTCTCTTGCACTCAGATTAAATCAAAGCCCAGCTTTCAAACACCTTGAGAAATTCTTACCTCCTAACCACAAAGAGTAAGAAATCCATGAGATGTTGGATCTTCCCACCGGGAAGACGCACCCCTAGTGCCTGCTGGAAGAGGAGGGGGTGATCAGAGGCATGGGGAAGAATGACTCCACTGGTGCATCATCTCAAGGACCTGCCCACACCCCAAAATCTCCTCAGGTGTGAGCCAGTAACTGCCTGGCCCAGGCAGAGAGGCCACAGCTGAAACAAACCACCTGCCCAGGCAGAATTAAAGAATCCTCTACAAGCAGATTAAGGATAGCAGCTGGGACAGCCCCAACCTTCCTGCGCCTCCCACTGGAAAATAACCATGGAATTGAATACAAACTAGGAGAAGCTGGATTCTTTAAAAAACTGTTTGCCTATGGTTTGCTCCTCTGCAAGTAATCCAAAAACTGTGCTGAAACTCCCTCCAGCATTCATACAACAGAGGTTTGTATTTTAACCAAAGAAATCAATACAAGAAGATACATCTCAAACAGAGACACAACTTTGTGTAAACACACAAATCCAGATGCAGTGATAGCTGTGCATTACCAGTGTAGGCATTTGCTCTGTTAGCAAAGGTAAATGGATGCTGATTTACAATTTCTACCTGTTCATAAAAATAATAACTTTAAATTATGCAAGATCAGGATGATAACTAAGATGAACAGAAGGCAAAACCTCAGAGGTATTGGCTCCACTTTATGGCCTTTCACCTCAAATTTCTTGACCATATGGTTATGCAGAAAAATTGGCAAAACAAATACCACAGCAATAAAATTGCACAGGAACAGGAAACAATTTGGCTCCTTAGGCCACTGGCAAATTAGGAAGGCTTTTGTGAATGCACTGTTAGCATACATACAGGGGGGTAAGTCACTCAAAAATACACACATTTAATCCAAAGATTTCTACAAACATTCCAAAATCTATTTTCATTCTCTCATTAGCAAATACACTGAGAAGCTTCTGGCAAGCAGAGCCGTTATGAGCATTAAAAATAGAAATAAAAAACTGGAATATACAAACTGTCTTAATGGGAACAGGGGAAGGTTTCAGTCCCCACCATCAGCACTGCCATCTTCAAACTTTAATTGGAGCAAAATGAACTTGAGTCTTCACACTCAGTGATTTACAGGTGAAAGCAAAATCCCTGGATATTTGAATTCAAAATTGCAGGGGTACCTGCACGTGCTGCTGAGCAACCTGGCCATGTCCCCTGCAGGGATAAAGCTTTAGGAATATCTCAAGTTATCCTGGTGCTGGATTATTGGTGTCTGCCCACAAGAATCTGCTCTCCTGGGCAGCATCAGACCCACAATCCTCCTTTCCTCTCTGGGCTCAGTGCTGCTGTGGGTGTGTTTATCCCAGGATGGATCAACCTGGAAGGGACCACAGTGGGGATCTGGTGCCACCTCCCTGCTCCAGCAGGGCCAGCCCAGAGCACAGGGCACAGGAGTGTGTCCAGACAGCTCTGGAATAGCCCCAGGGAGGACACTCCACCCCCTCTCTGGTCACTGCCCAGCCAACAAGTTCTTCCTCCTGTCCAGCTGGAACTTCCTGGCCATCAGTTCCTGCCCGTTCCTCCTGGGCCATTGCTGGGCCCCCCCGAGCAGAGCCTGCTCCATCCTCTGCCCCCTCCCTGCAGCCCCTCCAGACATGGCTGAGGGCCCCTCTCAGGCTCTGCTCTGGAGGCTGAACAGCCCCAGCTCCCTCAGCCTTCCCTTGTAAAAGACAGAATCAGGCTCTAGGCCTCTATTTTAAAGATACCAGAGCAAGCACCAGGTCACCACATCCATTTCCTGCTCCAAGACATGATCAGACCTTTCTTTCATTCCTGATGAATGTTTGTTTTAAGTCTTTGGAGAAACTTTAGTGTACCCACCATTTGGGGTGTGCTCCATTGGCCTCAGGCAACTCATCCACTACTTAAACTGTCAACACACCTAAATATGTACTACAAACATTCCCTACTGTGATTTCCACCCACTGATTTTACACCATCCATCATGGATAAAAAGAACAGAATTACAGAATCATTAAGGTTGGAAAAGACCTTTAAGATCATCAGGTCAACACAGCACCACCATCATGTTCACCACTAAACCATGTCCTCAAGTGCCACATCCACGCATTTTTTTTAGCTTTAAAGTCACTGTTCTCGTAGTGAAAGACTGTTTTAAAACCTCCCTTTTTTCCTTTTCACACTAAATATCAATTTATCGTTGCAAGGTGTATTTTCTAGACCTCTGGTTGATCCTCCTGTTCTCTTCTGGCTTTCCACAACTTCCTGAGATGCAGAGCTCAGAGCAGGAACCAGACCCTAACTCCACTGCTACACACATCAGGATTATGTTTGCCTTTATTTTTTCCCCCCATCACGATGGCACTTTTGCTTCATATTCAGCTTTCCCCTCCTTCCTTTCCCCTTCCTTTGTCTTCCAACATAATCTTTGTCTGTTCCTCACTTTTTATTTGCTTTAAGAGTTGGATTCTTATTGAACAACATCCTTATTTTTTTTCCCTCAGAAGAAAAGCAAGGGAATTTGATCATTGCCTGACTCTGGACTCACCCTGGCTTAATTTACCCTGGTCTCAGACAGAAATGGAATTTCCCACCTCTCTCCAAACTGGCACTGGGACAGGCTCAATGTCTTTAAGAAGCTGCCTGTGCTGTGAAGTGACTCTTAGGACCTTTAAGGGTGCTGAGGTGTCTTTAAACCAATTCTGCTCAAGGGGATTATTTTTTTTTGAGTGCTCATTCTTAGTCTATTTTTCATCAACTACAAAACAAAGGATAATTAAGATAAAATATTATCATAAATCAACATTAAAAAAAAAGAAAACAAACCTGATACCCAAATGAAAGCATTTCACAATCTAAAAGTACAATAATTTAACCCAGCTGCATTCAGATTTCTGTTCTTATTTTGTCATAAAATGCTGGATTTTTTCCTGAAGCAGAAACCATGGTTCACACAGTTGTTGTTTCCCATGACTCCAAGCATGGAGCTCCTCCTGCCCTTCCCAGTCATTGGAGAGGCAGTTGGCTTTCAGATCTTCCTAAAGCAGCAGGACATTCACCTGAAACAACCTGGAAAAGGGCAAGAGAGCCCAACCCTGCTGTTGCACTTTTCTGAATAAAACAATGCCACCGACCAAAATTTACACTGTGTGTGAAAAAGGGAGGCAGAAATATAAATTGCACTCACAGTGGAACTATGACTCAAAAGGAAAAAAGAATCATCAAGGTTGGAAAAGACCTCCAAGATCATAAATTCCAGCCTTGGACCAAATACCACCGTGGCCACTAAACCATATTGTGAAGTGTCACAGCCACTCGCTTTCTGAACACCTTGATTTAGGTGAAAGTGAGAAAATTTAAGTATACAACTGTGAATTAATTTATTTCAAACCCTATTCTAAGAGAGCTAATCTGCTTTCCTTCTCAATGTCTCCCCCTTTCACCATCCAAATTATCTTGCTTAGGTCCTGTCAGAGGTCCCGCTGAAGCTGGTGACAGGCAAATAAGGGACAATCAGGAAGAAGGCAAAGAGGCAAGAAGGGTTAAGTTAATGAAAGAGCCACCAATTCATATCCCAGAGAGGCTGTTGGGTGAGACCACTCTTATCCCAAAGAGGTTTTATCCTGATCAACTGAGGAGTGATCCTACCTTTCTTCATCCCAATTGTGTAAGAAAAGAATTACCCTCACTGCAGATCAGTTATATCTAAATCAGACAAAATTAAAATATCACAGCAAAGCTTTCCAATAGGGCTGGCAGAAGCACAGAAAATGTAATTTTCTCATTACTCTTTGTCACCTTCAACAGCAGTGATGTCTTTATCTATTGTATTTTTCCAAGGGGTATCTGTTCATGGTTTGGTTTTGTCTCATTCACCTTTTAACATTTCAAAAGCTCCTGAGACATCTGAGAGGAAAAAGGAGAGAGGGACATGTTGAATGAGATGTTACAATAAGGACATGTATATTCAATTTGCCTCTGTGTTGGAATGGTGGCTGCTATGTGTTTCTTCAGGAAAAAAAAAAAAAAGGTGAGAGATTGCAGATTTTCCTTCTTGCATAATTTTTTCTCTTTAAAACAAATCCCCAGGATGAATCCTGCTTCCAATCCTAGAGGAAGGCATGCAGTGGAGTTTGAACCAGCTGCTTACACCAGCGAGCAGTTGCTTAAAATAGTAGGTTTGCTTAAATTCTTTCATGTCAGTGTTTCCCACTGGAATCACAACTCAGACTGTGGAAAAT